CCAGACTGGTCTACAGAGCAAATCTAGGACAACCAGTGCTACACAGAGAAACTGTGTCTCAAAAGAAAGAAACAAAAAGCAGTATAGAAGTGATAAAGTAGAAAACATTGTTTTCAATTGATATAGAAATCCAAAAATTTTAAAACACTACATACTAAAAAAAACTACTATAGAATTTGAAAGTGTCCAATATAAAACCCAATGTAATTGTTTGACTAGGTCCTCTAGTATTTTTAAATTAAAATGCAATTGGCAACATCAATACCACAAAAAACATCCATACCCTTCTGAGAAACAGAGGCAAGATTCTAACTAACTACTCACATTCCAGCTAAGATAACTCAGTAACTATTCAATGGCAGCATTTTTTTAATAGTGTAGTACAATATTTTTTGAGTCATGATAATAAGCTTTCAACTACTGGTGACGTTTCCCATTTGAATAATATGTCTAAAGATGTACATGCTATAAAGTTTTACTAAAATTACACCAGAGAGTAAATGGTACATTTAGTTCAGGAAAGTAAGACACAGCATAGTTGTTTTAATGTTGAATGCATAATTTTAAAAGATGCTTGGAAAAACATGTAACCACTGAATGTAGGCGTGTGTTCTTAAAGCTGATATGATTGTGAGCATATTAGTCTATCACCTGATTCCAACTTCACCTCCCCACTCTTCAGATAGTAATCTATTAATGCTAATTTTTCAATGTGATTAACTCAGCGTCTCTTCAGTCTTATAGTCAGAAGATGTACCCAAAATTGGTTTCATTGAGTCAATGAAACTTTTACATCATAATTTCTAGGAGATACAGGAGAAGTAAGTGAATTAAATAAAAGTTAAATTATATTTAAATGACAAAAAGCACATGGTATTTGTCAAGGTCAACCTAAATTTTTTCACTTCTAGTGTAAACACACAAAGAATATATTTTTATATTTTAAAATTGATATGTAAGAGAATATCCTAAGTGACAAAAAACTTGTAAATACGTCAAAAGATGGGAAGACATTATAAAGCAGAATCGGAATGAGCAGGAGCATTGAGAACAGAGCATACTTGCAGCATGACCCACAGCTATTGGTGCCTCAGATCTCCACGGGAGCTGAAGTTCCCCAGTGAGGCTGAATAACCTAAAGAGCAATTGTGATGAAGACCGACCAACAAATGAACTCCTTTTCTCCCCGAACCTGAAACCTCCCGAATCAACAGTGGTAGTCATCGCACAGCGCTGTGACCTTGGTGAAAAGTTGCGAATGTTTGCCCATTTGAGTATAAGGAGTCAAACACAGAAGTTCATTTTTTAAATTGGCATTATTTCTCTGTGTTTGGAGACAAGAAGAAAAGTAAATAGTTTCAACTAAATGTGGCACACAATACTATCGCTTAGTCATATTATGCAAAGCTCCTTATAAGTTCCATGATTTATAATGTCGTTAAACCTGCATCATAACAATGACTTACTATGTGATCTCCCAGCAAACTGGATCGTTTTTGCCTAATTCAATTCAGTGACATTACAACATTAAATGAGACATAAAAATTCTAAGCAACTAACAAACAGAACACAACAACAAGCAATGACATCTAAGGCTCTTAAGTCAAAACCCATAGTTCACATTGAAATTCCATATAAATATATATTACCTATTTAGTTATCTATTAAAACATTTAAGACATATAAATAGGTCAAATAATTTTCATAGATTAATTGTGAAAACATTAATAAAGGATATTATTGAAAAAGTAGTTTTTCATGCAAACTAAAGTTTAAAATGGACTTTATAGATCACAGAGTTTATTCAAAGCCATTAAGTTCTGTACTTCATCCATAATAACAGGTATCATTAATAAAAGATTGATTTCTTGTTCCATGAAATTAAGCTATGTTAAAAGGGGCAAATGCAATGCAATTTGTAACATACAAAATAACAAGTAACAAGTAAATCACTGAACTACTCTGTGTTTTTAAGAAATGACAAAATGAAGGGTATGCATTCATTAAATTGCTAATTTGGTAAAGTTCATTAGGCTCGTGATGACCAGATTCTGGTGTTATAGCGGGTACAAACATGTGTGTATATGTGGGCAATCATCACTTCTCATCAGGATCCTAGGTGTGTAGGACACCTGCCACTTTTGACATGGGAAGTCCGAGGTTTAGTAAGAAAAGAAGTTCATTTATTGATTGGTTTTCCCCATTGTTGTTATTTAATTCATTAACATATATGCATTCTCGCATATAGGTCAGAAACAATTAACCAATGACACTGAAATCAGGATAAACTGGACAAGTTGCAAGAAACTTTTTATTTGTGATTGATATCATAGCATATTAAAAGCTCTACATACTGAATAAATCTTGAGAATAACTAAGGTTATAGAACTTCTTTCATTAAATCTGAGATTTGAAGAAATTTAAAATACTCATCACCTGGCAATTAAAACAATTTAATTGGGGGAAATCAAAATTGTTTTTATCGTGAATATATTTAAGTTGCATCTCCTTGAAATAAAAAGAAACAGATACATGGACATCATTACTATTCCTTTATCTTAGAGGCAAAATTCAATATTGAAATTAAACTATAAAAGAACATAAAAGATTATTCAATTATTACTCTATAAATGTTGGTTTTAAATATTGTGTATATTTAATATACATGACTTATCAACCTAAAAACTAAAGACATTAAAACAAATGACCTGATTTTTTTTAAAAAGGTATGCATAAACTTTAATTTGAAATATTTCATCACTCAGTGTATGTTCATCTTAAGTTAATATTTATGCATCATATTAATGTTGGTGCTTATTAAACTTCAGGACCAATTGTCTTTTTAACTGGCAAAATATGGCATATAGTAGGGCTCAAAGAATTCTAGGTCCTGTGAAGAATACATCATTATATAAATACAAACAAGTCTTTATTAATTAGCATAATTTCCTTATCCATATGTCTAGACTCTCCTATTATACTTAAGGACAAGCATATATCCCATTTTTTAATGACAAAACTCATTAAAAAGCACTTAGGGCAATTCACATATTCCTATGAAAAACAGTATTCAGTGGAGTGGGGTACTAATGTGAACATGCTCTGCGTTTAGGTCGGTTTGAGACTTGTGCACACAAATGCACAGAGGGCAGCTCAGCATCTGGAAGGGCTGTCATGACCACCCCGGCAAGTTCCAGTCATTCCAGTCAAGAGAAACGTATGAGCTTCATTTCACAGTGCATAGCTCCTGTTCATGGCTTCTGACGCTTGCACATATTTTGATTTATTCATCTCATTTAGGGTGGCTGCTTTTAATGCGCCGTTTTAATCATGAGGTTACAAAGCCAATACTCATATTTAACCGGCCCTTTGTCAACATGAGTGATGAAGAACTCGCTCACTTCAAATACACAGCAAGTAAGTGGTCACAGGCAAGTCGAGGCGCTGTAGAGCCTAAGGAAACTGAAAAAGTCCAGTGAACAGCACTGTGGCAAGGTCAGGTTTGGAAAATAGCTGCTCATTTTTTTCTCTGAACTCTTGAATGTTGTAGCACCCGCCCGATGTCAATATTTCCCTGTTCAGCGACTTTTGCTTGTTTTTAAAATAAACTTGGTTTAATGAAAAAAGGCAAATGCATTGAAGGAAGGGTTTTCTCTTTAAATTGTTAGCTGAACTGAGAGCCAAGTTTCAATAATCCTTTTAGACTTGGCCCACCTCACAGTACTACACTAAAGAAGTCTGCAGTTTGCATTCTGTTGTGCAGCAAGGAAGCAACCAAACAGATCCTGAACATCAAAGGTATCAGAGAATAAATCAAGTGCATACTATGGTATCTAAATCCTCTGAAAACTTCAAATGAGAACTTTTCATCCTCAAAAAAACAGGCAATTATTTATTTATGTGGACACTCTTTTAAACATATGAAGAGATTGATATTAAGAAAACTGTGTTTGCTTTTGAGCTAAGTGTGTCCTTGAACTACTCTGTCCTTTTAGATAAACGGGTACTGGGAGAAGACTAAACTGAGGTCCGCCCGTGGGCTCAGACCTGAGAAAGTCTTAAGCTTCACAACCTGACTTCACCTGGACTCCGCAGGGCTCATACTAAAGGCACTGCACAGGGCCACTCTCTTGCTTTGGAGTGGTGTGGACTTCTCCAGACACTTGCTCATGAGAGTTGGTTCTGTGGGGAGGCTTTGCAGATGATGGAATTTGAGCGGAAAGTGGGAGTTGTTCCCTGCGCCGTCTCTGAGCTAGGCACATCTTCCACCAGTAAGGAGTGCTGTCCCTCTGGGTGCCGAGGGACAGGCTGTCCAGTGAGAACAGCTGCGTGGGTTTTGTTTTCTAACACGCTTCCTACTGGCTGCCACTGTGGCACGGTGATCACCTTCCAGCCGTCTCCCCTCCCTGAACTTACAGAGTGACAAGCTGACAGTACGAGGCAAGGTCTGATGGCATCATGTTTAGCCTTATTCAACTTCTCAGGAGAGACGTTTCCTGTCTGTGGGTCACTCAGAGAAGAGCCAAGTAACTAACTCTTTCTGACACCCTCACTCAGTCCAGCCACTTGCCCTCAGCCACGGGCCACACTGCCTGTTCGCCATCAGAGACACCCACACCATCCCTCACCTTCAAGGTACCTAAACTGCGCGGTGTCACAGGATCTCTTAGGGTTAGGGTTCCTTCCTGTTTTTAGGAGGACCTATTGAAAGGAGAGCCTGGCAGTCCTCAGCCCCGGGAGTGTGCTGGACAGAGAGCCCCGTGCAGTGCCAGGGAAGCCTTCCCTCGGAGCTTTCCTGAGATTCTTTCCCTCCACCCGCCTCTCATCCCACGCCCATCCGATAAATAAATGGAATAAATGAATGTTTTGCAAGCCAAACAAAATCGCCTGAGCTCCCCAACCGCCAGCCAACTCATTCCCCCTGAAAGGCGCCCTGTTAGATGAGAGACGGACACAGACACACGCACACAGATACACACACACACCCAGAGAGCGATTACCAGAGTTTTGTTGCCGTTCTTGCTGAGAGGGCCCCGGAAAACTCCCTTGATGTTGCGAAAGTGTCCGTTGCTGAGACGCGTGGAGCTGATGACAATGTAGTAACACTCCATGGGGCGGCCGCCGCCTCTCCTCCGCAGCCGCCGCTTCCACGCGCCCGCGCCCTGCGCCGCAGCCCGGCCCGGCAGGGAGGAGGCGGCTGGGGACGGCGGCGGCTCGCGGGGCTCCTACGCCCGGCTGCGGAGCGCGCCCCGCCGCCTCCGCATCCCGGCCGGCCGCGCTCGCGGGGCTCGCCTGGAGACGGGCCGGG